CCCAGAATGAGTGTAGGATCTACTATAGTCCCGGGCAGCCATGCGAATACTTTGGTATTACCTGACAGGAGACACACATCTGGAGAGGTAAGACAATGCGCTGATTATCATATATATATTTGTGTGGTGCTTACAGTGAAAGTATGTTATGATCAAAGGTATTCAGTGATTGTAAATGTTTTACATACACAATTGAAATAGAAAGGCTACCGATTTGCAGGTGGTAATTTACACTGTCCTTGGTGCTGATTTTATTTCTAATTTGTTCTCATCAGTCTACGATCATTATATTGGCATCACAAGTTCACATGCTTCTCAGGAACACCCCCGAAATTTAGACAGTTGTTAAGATGGATTTGCTTTCAATCTCAATATCCTTTTGGTTTATATGCAGGAGAGAGATATCGGAGTTGGATTTTGGAGCAGCTAGAATGCAGAAAAAAAACGACAATACCAGTGCTTGTGGACATATGTTTTCAGATTAGTGGGGTCTTCAAAATTTCTCTCACTTTCTTGCAATGAAAAGAAAGTTCGCATGGTGTCAGTGCACAAACAGAAAGGGCTTTGCAAGAGCTCATACTAGCTGGATTTTTGGAAACGCCCATTGACGATATCACCAGTTCAACAGTAGCAATGCCGTTTGTAAACTGACGGTTGGGAATTTCAAAATTATCTACATTTCAAATATATGCCGAAGATAGAAAAAAAAAACGTCTGGACATACTCCTGCACACGATGCAGTTTTTCTGATGCAGTTATTCTTCTCGTGAAGGATTATTACAATTTTCGTTGATGGCCATGGAACAAAGAAAATGCGAGGCAGGAAGGGTGAATCGGCGGTGGGTCTGTTTGGTGATTGCTGTGCTTTTGTGGAGCGTGGCCTCAGCACAGATAAGATATTCTATCTCGGAGGAAGTCATGGAAGGGACTGCAGTTGGGAATGTTGCAAAAGATCTGGGATTAGATAAAAGCACGTTGAAAGACAGGAAGTATCGGATTGTTTCGAGTGCAGCAGATCCTCTTTTCCATGTAAATCAGAACGATGGCATCTTGTATGTGAGCCGGAAAATGGACAGAGAGGAAATATGTGAGCGAAGCAGTACATGTTTACTTAATCTGAAAACCGTGCTAGAAAACCCACTGGAAATCCACTATATTGGAGTTGAAGTTTTAGATATAAATGATCATTCCCCGAGCTTTCCAGAGATACAGAAAACGTTAGAAATTTCAGAATCCGTGGTAAGTGGAAAAAGCTTTCAGCTTCAAGCTGCTCGAGATCCAGACAATGGTCCTTTTTCCGTGCAACATTATAAACTTAACCAAAATGATCACTTCCGTTTGGAAGTTAAGGATAAAGGAGAAGATGGTAAAATACCGATTTTAATTGTGAAAAAAACTTTAGATAGGGAGGCAGCGGAAAGCCACTCATTAGTGCTGATAGCAGTAGATGGAGGGAAACCTCCGAAATCTGGCGAAATGAACATTTTAGTCAATGTTTTAGATATCAATGATAACGCACCTGTTTTCTCAGAAGACGTTTATTCTGTGATGCTCAATGAAAATGCTCCAGTGGGTACAACAGTCACACAAGTGAATGCAACTGATTTAGACGATGGACCAAACGGAGAAGTAGTTTACTCATTTAGCAACAGCGTAAATCGTAGGTTATTTAAACTGTTTGAAATAAACCAATCAACAGGTGAGATAATTGTTAAAGGTCCAATAGACTACGAGCACAAAGATAAATATGAAATTGAAATACAGGCATCAGATAAAGGCCTTGCTCATCTAACAACAGAAAAAAATGTGGTTATTAAGATAGTTGACGTGAATGATAACGCACCTGAGATTGAAGTTACTTCATTTTCAAGCTCCATCCCTGAAGATTCCAGAC